GAATTTGCATTGATGAATTTTGGTTATGTTCGACTTTTATATATAGTCTAGACTCTGTTCCTTTGTGACTATCCTTCGTTCTTAAAAACCTTTGAACAAATCTTTAACATGAAAATATTCCAAAATCTCCCAAAAAGAGTTCCAAAATCTCTATCACTATTAATTAATATCCTCCGTAGATAATACATCAAAGATTCTTAATTTGAAGAGACACTCTATGACTCAGTAATCACAATGTGCAACTTGCATTAGAAAAAGATTAATGTTAATAAAAGATTATTAACTGCAAGACACAATGACTAATCACAATGTCAACTTGCATTAGTAAATGATTAGTGGAATTAGTAGTAGTAGTAGCCTAGTAGGTGTCATCGTTAGTAAACATTTTCAAGGCCACATCCACAGAGTTTCTTCTTTGCAAAAAGTGTCGTCAACGAATCCTCTCATTCACACAACAAAGTGGAGATTTCTCTTTATTTTATTGCATCGGTGAGATTTTCGTGTCCAGATTTGTTTCTGACTCTTCTCTGTCTCAACTAAACTCTAAAGTTTTACAGTTTTTTTTTGTTTTAAGTTTTACTTAAGGTTTAATCACTATGGAATCGAATTGACTGGACTGGTTCTTGATGGTTTCTTTGTTTTTGATTAGTGTGTTTTGAGACCAGTTCTTGATTATGCTTATTTTTTCTTGATGATTATGTTTATTTTTGATTGATGATGATTATGTTGATCTTGATGGTTTCTTTGTTTTTCAATTAGTGTTTTGAGACCAGTTCTTGATTATGTGTTCTTGATTTTAACTTTTGGGTTTCTTGTTTTATTCATTCTTTCACCAAATTGTGGGAACTAATAATTGCTGCAGTGAAGCTTCTTGATTCCATCAATGGGTTCTGTAATGAGCTTGAGCTGTAACAAGAGGAAAGCTACGAGTCAGGAGGATGTGGAAACCGAATCTGTAAAAAGAAAAAAGATATGCTCAACCAACGATGATGAGAATTGCAGATTGATTCTTCAAGATGAGTTTTCTTGGAAACGTCCTTTGAGTTTCTGTGCCAACAGAGTCGTCAACGGTATGTTAATATTTCCTATATCTATCAAAATTCTTGATCCTGTTTTTATCATACAAATGATTTTTTTTTCTTTTTTCCTTTTTGACGCAGTTGCAGCGAGGGTTTATACAAAATTCATATTCCAACAAGTCAGCAAAGATATTATATCGTCTTCTGTGTCTCGAAACTGGAAATACCATGTTTTCCCAAGCTTCCACGGGGCAGACGTCCGAAGCAACTTTCTTAGTCACATCCTGGAATCATTCAAGAGAAAGGGAATCGACACATTCATTGATAATGATATACCGAGGAGCAAGTCGATCGGTCCTGAGCTCAAAGAAGCTATTAAAGGATCAAAGATCGCGATCGTGTTACTTTCCAAGAACTATGCTTCTTCTTCGTGGTGTCTTGATGAGTTGGCAGAGATCATGAAATGCAGGGAAGAGTTGGGTAAAATAGTCTTGACTATTTTCTATGAAGTAGAACCAACTGAAGTAAAGAAACAGACGGGAGATTTTGGAAAAGCCTTTAGAAAAACTTGTAAAGGTAAAACAAAAGAGCGCACTGGGATATGGAGAAAAGCGTTGGAAGATGTGGCCACAATAGC